AGGAGGCTCAAAACAGAGACACCTCTTCCCTGTGTGTCAGGCAGAATTTCCTCCCCAGGGGGCATAGGTATTTGTAGAAACTACCCCAGGGTATCTGTAAACTATCAGAGGATTTCTATCACAGGCTATCACGGAGCCCCCCAGGAACTTGTGCTGAAGGAGAGGAGAATGTGGAGCAAATGAGCACATGGTGCGGGGAGAGGAGGAACCTGACACTCAGGAGGAGGCAAGTCCCTCCTTGCGGGGGGAGAGGAATGCATGAGGTCACAAAGCTTCTCACTCCATTCTACTGTGACAGGGCGCGTCCGGCTGGGGTGCTCCACTCGGCAGGTGTAGACCTCCCCACTCTGAGGAACCACTTCAAGCATCACCATGGTCTGGAAGGTCCAGTCTCCATTAGGGATCAGGCCTGTGGAGACCACCCCAGCCTCCTCTTCCTGGCCGTTCCGGAACCACCTGACTTCGATGTGGCCTGGATAGAAGCCTGTCACAGAGCAGACCAGGAGGCTGTGGTGCTGCAGGGGCTGGGGCTTTGCAGGATACACGGTCACTGTGGGCTCCACTAGGAGAGAAGTGGTAGACGGAATAGTGAGGAAGATAGAATGAGTGTCCCGACCAGACTGCAGCCTTGGGCAGGCCAAGCTGGCCATGCGGCTGAAGAGGAGCCAGGGTCATGAGTCTTGAATTTAATCCATAAAGCAGGGGCCTGTTAGATTTTAGAGATGTTGGGAAACTGAATTTTTCCTCCATAACTTGAAATAGTTATTTATTGTTGAATTAAAGTACTTACAAATTTTGCAAGACATGTGGTGTATTAATTAAAAGCACAATTTCTGGAGTTAGGCTACCTGGGCCTACTTCTAACTGATCAATCCTGGGAAAGTTTTAAAATTCCTCTGTTCCTCTGCCTTCTCATCTATAAAGGAGGATAGTGAGCCTAATTTACCTCTCAGAGTCAAATAAGTGTCAATGGACCTAACATATATAAAGAAATGGCTGGAACTTAGCCTTTGATATATGTTAGTGACTTACTGAATTTATTAACTATGAGAGAAGATATGACTCAAAGTATAAAGATAAATTAGGGAACAGAAGTGAGATAGATGGAGATACTGAGTGTGAAATGCTGGTTATGCTGCCTCGAGGAACTCACACCTTAGAACAGCACAAAACTGGTTCTTCCCCTGAGAAGCAGAAATACACAGAGGTCATTCTCTAACCCTGTGAGTTGTGTCTCAAGAAAAAAATGAGTCTTGCAGAGGAAAAGGAAGAAGGGAATTCAATCTTTTAAAAAGTTTTTATGGCTTTATATTCAACTGATCAATCTCTTTCCTTTTCAAAAAAGTCACATCTATTTTTGGAATTGTTATTTTATAGTTATCTCTCCTTCTAAACTGACATTTGAGATCAAGGCAGGGTCTGGGACTCTTAACATCTGGGACAGACTCTGACACTGTCAGGACCTCAGTAAATATAATTATTTTAAAAGGAGAAATGGGGGACACATTTGTACAGGACTACAAAATAGTAGATTTAAGATCGAGGGTAAATCATTAGTAATTTTGCAGTTTATATTTCATTAAGCAAAAAATTTTAAATTCTTAACACAGGAAACATTAAACAGAATCTAATAGAAACCTCAAACTGGAAAAAATGTTGAATCAAATATCAGCAAAGTGTTAATAATCTTACTGCATACAGGACCATGAAACTACTGAGAAAAATGCTTGAACCCCAGTCATAACAGATTAATAGGCAGTGCTTAGAGCAGCAGTTACAATTGGCACAGAAATGTGTAAAAAAAGAACTTTAGAAATAAAAGAAATATAAGTTAAAAACAATAAGATATAAATTTCCAACTAAGTGGCAATATTGAAAACAAAATCTAACAATGGGGAATTCGAGATAAATTGTTTACAACTATACAAAGGGTTAGCATGTAATAACTTAAGTACTATTAGCATCATAAAAATAGTAACATCAGTATGTTAATGCTAAGTAACAAAAATCTACCTTCACTATCATTTCAAATATGTAAAAATATACACAAAGAAAGCAAAAAAGTAGCCAGAAATTTAGACTTAAAAGTAGTCTCAGAAAGATCAGAGGGGCCTGGGCTGTTCCTCTCCACTATCCCCCTAGAAATTAGTCTCCCCAACAAATTTCATTCGTAGTGAAATGTTGGTACACACAAACACAGGTATGTTTATTTTAACGGATTTCAAGAGAAAGGGTGTGTGTGCCAAGAGCAGTTTGCGACACTTACATTCTCCCAATCCTTTTACATTACTCCCTCCCCTCTCCTAAACCTTCCCCTGAGTCACTGACACCTTGAAGCCCCTTCCTGCATCTCTAACCACCTTCCTTCCCCTCTTCCCCGTCAGGGTTTCCTCCTCCCACCTACTTCTCCCACGCCGCGGGAGGATGCCGGGAGCCTCCCTCCTGCATCCTTCCCCCCCAGCTCCCCCTCCCTCCCGGTCCTCTCAGACCCTCTGCCCACTGCCTCCCGCCCCCAACTCTCTCTCCTTCCCCGTCTCCCTTCTCACAATCGCACATGACAAAATCACACACTAGCTCTTCGACAACACCCTCTCACATGTACCCTTGTGACTCCTGTAACTTGCACTTGTCCACAGTCCTACACGCAGCCCGGACTCAGCCTCTGTCTTTGTCTCTGTTTCTTTGTCACACACACACACACACACACGCGCGCACACACAGGCACACACGCGCGCGCGCACACACGCACAG